GAGGAGCTTGAGGTTCCCAGAGGAAAGGAACATTCCTTAGTTAAATATCTCCTGTATCCTAGACCAAGACCCAATTACAACTCTGTATAATTTTCCTAGATGGTTATGCCAGACCTTCTCTCCAGATTGGGTCAGTCTATTTGGGACAAGGGCCTGTTTTGCTGAAGGAAGTTCAAGTAAAAAAAAAAAATTACTTAGTTCTTCCTTAACTTCTATGCTATAGATATGAACTTCTTTAGTACTAAGTTTATACATAGAATTTCTATACCTGTGTAGTGTCTATGTTTTCAGCTACCATGCCTTCCTCTTAGATAAAAAATGAGAACCAACCAACAAAACAAGACTCATCAAAGTTATATTCATGCTAATGACAATAAATTGCACAACCCATTTACCAGCACCAATTCTACGCTCCCATGTGCAAAAAATTTCTTTACAATCATGTCATTTAATATCCTAATGCCTTCTTAAGACTTTAAAGCTAGCATTCTATTTGTAAAGTACATATTTTTCATATAACTGAAACACATTTTTCAGGTCACTGAAATTCACATAATTTTATAATATCTTGTTTTGTGACAATTCTGAGCCTTTGTATGTTTCCTTCCCTATCTGGAATGCTGGATCCAGTGAAAGAGTAAAGAATATCTGTTAAATACTTATATTTCCTGTGAATCTTTTTGGTTTGTTACTCTGTCATGAAGAGTTAGTCCTTTTCAAGTCCGCCTCCTACAAAACACAATCATTTTCTCAAAAGCAGACAGAGATTATGTATTATTGATTGTTGCATCTAAGTATATGTCCCAAAGATTTCAGTGTCTATATATTTGCTGAGTGAATGAGCAGGAATAACTACCTAGCAGGAAAGAGAGTCTCAAAGGGAAGCTAGACTGGGAAAAAAAACCACAGAAGGGTCAACCAGTAAATTTTCTTGTAACAATAGCAGCTAGTGGGAGAAGAGAATGAAGAATCATCTGATCTGCCGAAATATCTCATGGTGGTACTTGCGAGTTGCTAAGTTTCCATGAAAGAAAAATGGTGTGCCCAAGGACTAAGTTCTGGGAAGATACTGATCCCTCTTCGGTGTCTGCAGGTCTACAGCCATCTAAATAGTTTCCTCTGAGGGCCTAAGACCCAAGGGAGGACAGAGAGGCATATAAGTGCCATTGCAGCAGAGCATCCTGATTTAATCAGAAGAGGCTGGGACAGGAAATGAGAAGAACTACAGGGTTGGGGAAAGAAGCCACAGACAACAAGGGACCAGTAAGGTGTTGAAGGTGGATAGAGGCAGCCAACCCAGTGACCTTTCTAGTATCTCTTATCTAGCAAGTCTACAAGGAGAGTTAATGGGATAGGGCAGCTTCCAGGATTATGGCCAGTCTGTGGTTAGAGCTACTGTTCCATGATATTTCCCCCTTGATCTTTTGGGTTAGAAAGACAGACAAGAATTTGTTACTGGGGGTTGGTGTGCAAACACAGCAGCTTCTTGGGTAAAATGTAAAACTGGCCCTGGCACATGGAGGGCAGGGAGAGAATGAAGGAGGCAGGCCCCTCCAGATTGGTAGATGGCAGGTTTAATAAGCAAGGGAATTTATATACAAGGCATATGTTGGGAACCACAAGAAAAGTAGCTCTCTGCACCCATCACCAGAATCTTAACTGGGTTCGGTCATGTACACCATCCAGATGGGCTCAAAACACCTTACTCTTTTAAGGCTGTGTCCTTGGAGCAGCTTCTGAGAGTGGGGAAGGCAGGTGGAATGCACATTCCAAGGCTGGAAGTGAAGGGTCAGAAACCTTGGATTACCTGGGTCCATCTTGTAGGTCAACCTATAGTCATGGCCTCTTGGTGACCTCCCCCAGCACTGGGCTGGGCTTTGGACTAGAGTGATACAGGATTATGGCAGGGATGGATCGTAATCTCTACTCTATCCCAATGTATGTGGCTCCCAACATAGTTTCCCTGGAAAGAAGGCAGGGAACATGTGAAAATTCTCCATCACAGAAAAAGACAAACATGGAGAAGGATTCAGTCACTTCACCCAAGTCATGTGGCTGGCTGTTCAAAAACTGCTTAAAGAGCTCAAAGTCCCAACCCTGAGCTTCTCACTCCTCGCTACTATTGGATCACTGATTGACCTTCCCTTAGAGCTTGCTGCAGAAATGAAGGGAAGAGCTATAGGTCTCATACGGTAGATACTTGTTGTGGAGATCTTCCAATAAGAAGGCAGTGCTGGAAATGGCAGATAATAATCTACAGCCGTTGAGTGTATGGTTCTAACTGCACCACATTTAGTTTCTTGTAAATGGCTCTATAATCTACAAAGCAGGGAGAGTAACTGGCCTACTCTTTCAGGTGAGGAAACAGAGATTTAGCAAATAACTGGCACAACTACAGAGTTAATAAATGGGGGAGTTATGATTGGGATGTAGATCTGACTCCAGAGCTACTTCCTTCATCACCACACTGTACTGCCTAATGAACTGTGTCTGGAGGGCCACAGGTGTCCATAGATTCTTCACTGCCCAGTGGGCTTGAGAGGGTAAGACTGAACAGAGAACTGTGGGAGATTCCCGGGTGCCTTCCCATCCCTCCGTTCCTCACGTTTTTCCATGTCAGTGCCTCAGTGTCTGATCACATCCCCCATCTCCAGCCTCTCTGTTGCCTAGCCTCTCTCTCAAGTTGTCTCACAGGAGATTTTTTTCCTTCTCCTCAATTCCCCTCTTCTGCTCAACTCTGCCCCTACCCCTCTCTGTTCTCCCTCTCTTCCTCCCCCCTCCAATCCTCCCTCAGTCTCTAAGCTTCCTATCAGTTTAGCCCTTGGTTTTCCCCTTCGCTGTCCCTCAGGCCCTGACCTCTCCCCAGTTCTCGGTCTGTGTCTGTCTGGCAGTTTCCCTCCTTTCAGCCTTCCAGAAACCTCTCTCTGACTTCAGCTTCACCATCTTCCAGCTCATCTGTCCTCCCAGGTCTGCCTCACATGCCCTCATCTTGTGTTTCTCAGGTTCTTCCTCAAAGTCACACAAGCTCCTTTCTCCCTGACACCCAGCTGACCCTTTCCTGTCCTTCAACATCTTCCTCACCAGTGTTCACCACACCCTGTCCTTCTTCATCCATTTCCTCCTCTTCCAGCCTCCTCTGCTTCCTGAACTATGGGTCTCCCTCAGCATATTCTTATTAAGGCCACAATTTCACTGTCTCTCTTCCTTCCTCTAGTTGACCCTCATTATACCTTCCCCCGTTCCTCAGCTTCATCCTATCTGTCCCTCGGTATGTGTTGTGATCTATTCCTCAGTATCCCCTTTTATCACTTTGCCCCAATTACTCCCTCAGTCTGTTTGACTGTCAGTAGTTCCCCAATCTTCCAAAGGCACATGGCACTTATGCCAAGGTCTAAAGCACTGTCATATTAAAGAGGGGATGGAGTTAATTTTTTCATAACAGGAAGAGATAAAGAGTAAAAACTGTAGGGGAAGAATACAAGAAAATCAGTGCTTTGACAACAACAAATACATTTATTGTTTATTATATTCCAGACTTGGTGCTAAATTTTATATAAATCATGTGCAAATAAAAACACATCCATTCTTTAATTAGGAAATATCATTATCATTACTTTACTGATGAGGATGCAGAAGCAAATGTTGTATCAGACACGGAGATCCAGGATAGCAGGGCTTGTCTTGTGAGCACCTCTCCAGGTATCCCTATTTTTGGTTTTTAATAAACTAATTTAAGCAAAGAACAAGCTTTGTCATTATTGCTTCTGTTTCAAGGTACACTTACTGACATGCATTTTTTGCAATACCTACTTGGGAAATACACTCTAATAAGTTGCCCTGATTTATTAAAGTTGTGTCAGGTCTCCAGCTTGATTTCTGAGGACAGGTACCTTTAAAAACACAGAGAAGAAAGAAAGAAAGAAAGAAAGAAAGAAAGAAAGAAAGAAAGAAAGAAAGAAAGAAAGAAAGAAAAAAGGGTGCCTGGGTGGCTCAGTCGGTTAAGCATCTGACTTCAGCTGAGGTCATGATCTAATGGTTTGTGGGATCAAGCCCTGCATCGGGCTCTCTACTCTCAGCATTGAGCCTGCTTTGAATCTTCTGTCCCCCTCTCTCTCTGTCTCTCACCCACTCACACATACCTGCACACTGTCTCTCTCAAAAATGAACATTAAAACGAAGGAAGGAAGGAAGGAAGGAAGGAAGGAAGGAAGGAAGGAAGGAAAAGGAATGTCAGTGGACTCTGAATTTAGATTCGAAAATAAAGAAATTCCAGGAATTATAGTAAAGGAAGCAGCTTTAAAGAGGTAGACTATATAGGATGAATGAGCGTGACTTCCCAGGGACATTAGATGTTTGAAGCATAAGGTACTAGAGAGCTAGTCCTGGGTTCTTTGAGAGAGATTGGGTGTGGAGGGAAGCAGGATAACTTTTCTCTCGATCAAAGGGATATGTGCAGAGGATCTCATAATGACAATAAGGAGATAAACTGGAGAGCAGACTGGATGAGGAAACTCTCTAAGGCGTTCTCAATCTGCTTAGAAAAATTATATATAATTTCTTCTACAGGAAAATCTCAAAGGGGTAAGGTCAGACACATAAGACAACTTAGGAGTAACAGAGTTTCAGAGTATCTCAGCATTCTATTAAGGTGGAGCGCTAGATTTTTCTAAGTTAAAAAAAAAAAAACCCAACCTTATCTTTCACTAGTGGTTAAGAACAAAAGCAGAGAAAACCCTTGTCGAGGCTTACTGTCACTGAGGTAAGTAGAGGGATGAATGGGAAGAAGAGAAAGAAGGGAGGAAGCATGAAAAGGACAAGCTGTTTGTGTGGGCATTGGTGAATTGAGAGGTCATTGAGTCCACGGCATGCAGAGGCCAGAGGTCATTGAGCCCACACCAGCAGGGGACTGGTGTCCAGTGATAGCAGAGGTGCTCATGGTAACGATCTAGTAACCTTCAAAGTACTACCCTCTTTTCCTAGAGCGAATAGACTTCTTGAGAATGAGGATATCCACCCTACCAAATGCCAACGTGAGCTTCTCCACGTTCCTGTTGACTGGCTTCCCAGGCCTGGAATGGGCTCACCACTGGATCTCACTACCCATTTTTGTAGGATGTGCTCTCGTAGGTAATGCTACCATCTTGCATCTGGTACGAACTGAGCCTTCTCTCCACCAGCCCATGTACTACTTCTTGGCCATCCTGGCTGTGACAGCCTTGGGCCTGTGCATGTCCACGCTGCCCTCAGTGCTGGGTGTGCTGTGGTTTGATGCCCGGATGGTGGGCCTGGTGCCCTGTGTTCTGCAGCAACACTTTCTACACTCCTTCTCCTTCATGGAGTCAGTGGTGCTCTTCGCCATGGCTCTGGACTGCCCAGTGGTCATCCGATTCCCACCGCGCTATGCATCAGTGCTCACAGGTTCTTGTGTGCCACTGGCCGAGGCTGTGCTGAGCGTGCGGAGTGCTGCCATCACTGCGGCACCCTCACTGCACCTACGGAAGTTTGACTACTGTCGCCCCGGGGCACTGTCCCATGCCTACTGCCTTCACCAGGACATGGTCCTCCTGGCCTGCTCTGACACATGTTTCAACAGACTCTATGGGCTGTGCATCATCATGCTGGCCATGGGCTCCGATGTCCTTTTCATCCTGCTCTCCTACACTATCATCGTCCACACTGTGCTGGCCATCGCCTCTGCCGGGGAGAGGCTCAAGGCCCTCAACACCTGTGTCTCACACATCCTGGCCGTGCTCTGCTTCTATGTGCCTGTGCTAGGCCTGTCTGTTGTGCACAGGTTTGGGCACCACACCTCACCCTTGGTGCACATCTTCATGGGCACTGTCTCTGTGCTCTTCCCACCCCTGATGAACCCTGTTCTATAGCATCAAGACCCAGCAGATCTGCAGGGCCATCCTCAAGGTGGTTTCACTGGGGAAGACACAGTGAGACGTTGGGAATGGATTAGAGCAACTCCAAATGAGGAATGAGTGAAACCTTCTTTTTAGAGCCTTCATACCACAAAACAAGTTCTGTTTACCTATCTTAGTTTGATGGTACATCATGAATTAACTCTAATGTTAAAATAAAAAAAAGTTGATGCTTATTACTACTTATGTATACACATACAAATATATATCCACTACTTTCTTACATTAAAAAGAATGATTATATTTTTTACTCAAATGTTTGCATGTTCAGAGTGATTTTTATGTTTTCTCCTCTACTTATTTGGTAGAACTTTAATTGTACAATGATGTCATTGGTGATAAGTTACTCTGATGATTCGGGAAGTTGAATCATCACTTCACATTTTTTGGATTAACCTCAGAGTTGGCCACAATTCATCAAAATATAATATTTCTGCTATACACATTCACCGGGGATAACTTTATTTTTAGATCTAAGAGGAACTTTCCAATGTTGCTTTTTTTGTCCATTTCATAGTCTGGGACAGAACTAAGTTGAGGAGAGGCATCAAAGCCTAATTTATAACCAGAATGAGAAAAATTGGGGCCAAGAGTGTGTCAGACCTGTAGGTAGTATAACGAACTGACAGAAGTATGTCCTTGAGCCACTAACCTAACAAAAGAACTGCCAGATCTTAGTACAAGGTGCAAATTCCAAGGGCTGCTTAGATCATACTTTGCCAGTTTCAGCATAAGGCAATTTCTCCTGTCCCTACAGGACACAGGAATGTCACTGACTAATAAGGATTAGGATATAAGACAATTATAAGAGTATTTTAGATGACTCTTTAAGCAAACATATACTGTCATACAAATACATAAGATTAGAGAGAAATGCAATACACTCATGCACATATACAGACATGAATCTACACTCAATTAATTGCACCTTTTTTCTCAGATCTGGAGGTTCTTTCCTTGGGTTAATGACTTAAAGACATACCTATGTCATATCACCACCTACGTGAATATACATTCAATTATATTTGTGGACACATGCTCATAGATTCATGCAAACTTGCAAACAAAATTCTCAAACAAGCAGCATGGTTACGCATACATCTACACACATATGCACACACAGGCATGTGTTCATATGCACATTTACATAAATTTACACACTCGCAAATGCACATAAAAGAATGCTCACATGGACGTGTAAGTTTACACATCCACACATGCATGCACCATCTTGTTCTATATTTTCTGAGTTTGACTTAAGGTTCCCCAGACAGCATCCCCTGGGATCCTCTGCTCTTGGCTTAATTACTTCTGTAGGCCTGGAAGCAGCACATTCTGAAGCTGGTTTACCTGTGTCCCCCAGGGGACTGACTGGCAAAACTGGGGGAAGGAGAAGGCTAATTCTGAAGTCACGATAAAGAAGAAGGCCAGTCAGCCCCTGTTTCCAGGTAGTGAGGTAGAGATCTGGCCTGAGACCTGCCACCTTGAAGGGCAGGTGGGTTTTTATAGGAGAGGAGCGGGGTTGGCCTGAAGTCCAGCCTGTGGGATCAGGAGAACGGGAAATCTGTTCAGGTGATCTGAACCCGGGGTTTTCTTTCAGAGATGCATCTCCTTTCCAGTACAGGCTTTCTGTTCCCCTTTCCTCCTGCCATGATAGACCCCTGCCCTCCAGGCAGGATGCAGACTTTTATCCAGAAACCCTCACTATGGCAGAGAAACACTTGAGTCTATTTTACTCAACTCCTCTCTGTTAATTCAGGAAATCTGGGACAGGGAAACCGCCATTTTGTCTCCAAATCCAATCTTTTTAAACTAGATATTTAATTCTCTTTTTAAATCTGTGTTGCTTAGGGCCATTTACCCTCCTCTCTTTCACTTTCCACACCAATGGTCCTTGTCCCCTCCGTCCCATGCAGGCAGCCACATAACCTGTGGGGCCTGGTCCCTCTCAACCCTAGCTCCTTGGTGACCTGTGGTTTTCACAGTCCTTCACCCTCTTCTGGCTGACTCATCCCCATGCCCAACCCATTTATCACTGGCTTCCTTGTGTGGCTTTTGTCCAGGCTTCCTCGCTCTCCTCTTTAACTGCAGTTTTGCCAGCAAGACTTGGCAAGTCACTTGAAATGCCAACTTCTCACTCTCTCAAGCTGTAAAATGTATAAGAGTGGGTCACTTTGAGTATTCTCAGGATAAGACCTGCTTTAGCCTGTCCTCATATTTCCCACTCAACCCACACACCTCACTCATCAGCATGGACCTCAGACCTCCTATAATAACAGCTCTTCATCTACAATGAAGCAAAAGGATATTACATTATTTTTGTCTTCAGAGAGACTCTCATTCGATAGAAGAAGACAAAGTTCTTCCACTACTTCCTGCCCTAAGCTCCCAGCCTGGAATATATCACCATACATCAACATGCACCTTCTTTCCTGTTCCCTCCCTCCCTTTATCCCTTCCCTTTTATAAAGCCCTGGGGACATGCTCAAAATACAGGCCCTAAGTCTTCCTTGGAAGACTAACAAACAACGAAACAGCAATATATGGGACTGAGTGCTAGAGTAGAGAGAGGTGCTAGTGCAGAAAGTGATTAACCACATACCTGGCATGAGGAAGACATCCCAGGACTGACATCTGAGCCAGATGTTATACAACAGCGGTGCAGGTTGTATTTGTTCTAAAATGTGATTTTTAGTTGTACTAAATGCTGAAGTGTTTAAGAAAGGAAAAACAGGCATGGAAAGTAAACAGTAACAACAAAAAAAAAAAAAACAAACAGAACAACAACAAAAAAAGCACAGGAATGACCATGAGGGAAAAGACATGTTAGGGTGTGTCAGGATTTACAGACCAGTCAAGTCAAGAAGCTAGGTCTCACTGGAGTTTTATCAGCACTAAGAAGCATGCCATTCAAAGAGGGTGAACATACGGGATACGAAGACTTTTCCTTTCATCTTCAACAGTAGCTGGGCAGCAAAAATCACTGTTCCTCTTACTAATTCACACCGATGGATGATGTTCAGATGCCACTGACTCCCTCTCCACCAGACCATTTTGAAGTGCCAGGGGGATCCCATGCATTTTAGAATCAGGTTCTTTCCCTTTTTTTCTTGGTGTCTCCAAAATTAATACACTGGCCAACAGACAATGAAGACGACAAACCCAAAGTGTAGGCTGGACCTCAGACCACTCTCACTTCCCACAGCCAGTACCACACACAGGCATATTCTCTCTCAGGCTTCATGGGCTTCCTTTGAGGTGGTGGGTGATACTCCATACTGGCAGTTCTACACAGGGGCTCACTTCTCAGGCAAACATTGTTTGTTTGTTTGTTTGAATTTTTTTAACGTTTATTTATTACTGAGAGATAGAGAGACACAGAGCATGAGCAGGGGAGGGGCAGAGCCGGAGTGGGGGGAATGAGACACAGAATCCAAAGCAGGCTCCAGGGTCTGAGCTGTCAGCACAGAGGTCTACATGGGGCTTGAACTCATGAGCCACAAGATCATGACCTGAGCCAAAGTCAGATGCTTAACTGACTGAGCCACCCAGGCGCCCGTTTGTTTGTTTTTAATGCTCACAGGTACTTGTGGAAAGCAGCAGGCTTTTAACTTCCAGTAGCATGATAAATAGTTCTCCATCCCCTCACTCTCAATCTAAAGGTGTCCTCATGTCTAAAATGAGTCTCTTGGGGCGCCTGGGTGGCGCAGTCGGTTAGGCGTCCGACTTCAGCCAGGTCACGATCTCGCGGTCCGTGAGTTCGAGCCCCGCATCAGGCTCTGGGCTGATGGCTCAGAGCCTGGAGCCTGTTTCCGATTCTGTGTCTCCCTCTCTCTCTGCCCCTCCCCTGTTCATGCTCTGTCTCTCTCTGTCCCAAAAATAAACAAAACGTTGAAAAAAAAATGAGTCTCTTGTAGACAGCAAATAGATGGGTCTTGTTTTTTTATCCATTCTGATACCCTATGTCTTTTGGTTGGCACATTTAATCCACTTACATTCAGTGTTATTATAGAAAGATATGGGTTTAGAGTCATTGTGATGTCTGTATGTTTTATGCTTGTAGTGATGTCTCTGGTACTTTGTCTCACAGGGTCCCCCTTAGGATCTCTTGTAGGGCTGGTTTAGTGGTGACAAATTCCTTCAGTTTTTGTTTGTTTGGGAAGACCTTTATCTCTCCTTCTATTCTAAATGACAGACTTGCTGGATAAAGGATTCTCGGCTGCATATTTTTTCTGTCTAGCACACTGAAAATCTCGTGCCAATTCTTTCTGGCCAAGCAGCAGGCTTTTAAAATATGGGTGACATGCAGCGTCCCTGATGGATAAGGAAGAAGGAGTAAATGATGTCTCCGAGGCATTCCAGACACCTATAATGACTCAATGTAAAAAGGCAGGCATAAAGATACAAAGTTGATTTCTTCAATCTAGAAAATCTTAGGCAATTAAGAAATTGCTTAATTGCAAATAAAAAGAAAAGAAAAAGAATGTTATCCATAAAGATGGAGAGAGAAAGGTATGAGTGAAAAATGATTATATAAAAATTAAAAGCCTGACTTTCATTGACACGATTATTATCATTTCACCTGCAATAGTAACAATTACTGAAAGTGTATTTTATGCTAACTGGTCCATACAGGCTCATTTGTTTAAGCTTCAAACAAGCCTGTGGCTACATATTATAGTGATTCTCTGCTTTACAGGTAGGGAATGGAGAGCCCCTCGGATCATGACTGAGTCAGGATTCCCACCAAGGCAATCTGGTTCCATAGTCTGCAACCCTATCTTTTATGCACACTGCTCCGAAATTCCAAAATACATAACAGGAACAAACTGGGAGCAATAAATAAGGCACACAATTTTAAGTGAATACTGAACTCTAAGTAATCCAAGGGACTGCTAAAAACATATCAGAATCTTATGCACTATAAAAGGAAGTAAATGACTTAGACTGTTAAT